TTAAAAGTGTTCTCCCACACCAGTTCAGTTCTCGGGATAGTCTAACTTCTTCATGCGCCAAACTATCTGCAATCTCCCTAAATTTCCCAAGATGCAGTCTAGAGGCAGAATCAACGGTGTGGTACCCAGAATTACAAATATGCCTGCAGAGGCCTTAAGAGGCTTCTGGTTCAGCCAATGGCCTGTCTACTCCACCATTTTGCTCTCACAGTGGCTGACCAGATACCTGTGGGAAGCCTACGAGGTGTGGACATGAGCACAACACCTGCAATTTCCAGCAACTCGTGTTCAGAGGTTGCAGTGCCTCAGTAAGTGCTCCTTTAACCTTTAAACAACGTTTTTGTTGTTTGATCTGCATTCCTTTCAAAAGCCAGCAGATGGCACAGGTCACATCGTAAATATTACTCCGTTCCATTTGGTCTGCATGCGCTTTGTCCTCAAGTTTTGCTTTTATCACCTAACATCACTTCAAACAACATACTTTTAAGGGAGGGACAAGGCCCTGAGGTAAGAGATGTTGGCTGTTGTACAGGCATGGGTAAATCAGCACTAGATCTTTGCTGAGTTAGGGTTGCCATATTTCTAGAAGTAAAATACGGGACACAAAAGTTGTTAAGCTTTTTTTAACAACCCTGGTTTGGTCTGCTTTCCAGAATCCTGGCATGAAGCATAATCATTGTCTCAGCCAGGCAAGATTTGGTCTGAATTTCTGTTGAATAAGTGTTAGTAATGAGAGGATCTGCTTTCTCTCAGGAGTCTATCTCATGGTTTCAGTTTGCAGCTGGCCAAGATTTTTTATGCTGACACTGTCTTTTCTCTGAAAATTCAATAAAAATAAATGTTTAAAAAAACAAACAAATTGTTTTATATTTTTTATGGATAATATAGGGAACTTTTAGCAGTAAAACAGCAAAAGCGGGCTAGAAATATTTCCATCTTTAAGATTTTAATATTTCCATCTTTAGTATTTTTCCATTATCTTTTGGTAAGGGTTTTTAACCTGTACTTGGTTTGAAATTTGCATACATTCGTAAGGACCTATGAGTGGTAGCTTTAAGAGATTTTCATCCTGGAATCAAAAAAGTCAAAATTCCACCACCCTACCTTTGGCACTGTGAGGTGATGGATATAATAATAATAATAATAATAATAATAATTATACCCTGCCCATCTGGCTTGGTTTCCCCAGCCACTCTGGGCGACTCCCAACAGAATATTAAAAACACGATAAAACATCAGACATTAAAAACTTCCCTAAACAAGGCTGGCTTCAGATGTCTTCTAAAAGTCAGGTAGTTGTTTATTTCCTTGACATCTGAGGGAAGGGCATTCCATAGGGCGGGCGCCACTACCAAGAATGCCACTATGGAGAGAGCATGGTGTTACGGTAAAATCTGGGTGCGGGGTTACTCTGCCACCCAGCTCGTCGGACTAAGTCCGCGGGTCCCTGCGGAAGAAAATGAGCTCAGCCGGAGACAGGAGCAAGTTGCAGGAGATCCGAGTTTATTGCGCAACAGGTTCAAGGCGAGATTGAACAGCGAGAAAGGGGTGACATGAACTTTTGAAATTTCCCTCCATGTCCCAGAATACAGTGCAAAATACATCCCAGTTACATCATGAATACATTAAGAAGAGGTTGGGTTACACAGATTACATCACAAATACATTAGGAAGAGGTTGGGTTACACCGGATTAACATATGGAGGAGGGAGGGGGGAATATGCAGAGCTGGAGATATGCGCAGATAAGCACATCCTGAGAAGACAATGGTCCATGTATGCATAGTCTGTCACCTGGCATCGCCCGGAGGAAGGGCTTGGCAGAGCGATTTGACAGGATTAGGGTCTTGACACCTTGCTTGAGGGATTATGGAGGACAGGGGAGGTGTCATGGAGTCCTGGAGAAATTGAGGCAAATTGGCACGTTGATTTTCTATGAATTTTATAGATTTTAGTCCCTTTTGACATTGACAATTGGAAATAAATGGATATATTGTAGCGAAGAAGAAGGTGAAGAAGACATGCCCCCCCCTTCCGTATCAGTGGGGAACTGAGAATGCTGGGAATTGTTGGAAGACATTGTTGAGGGTGCAACTGAGGCTATGCACACATGATAAGGCACATCTCTCCCCTCCCCCAAGAATCATGGGAGCTATAGTTTAAGGGTGCTGGGACCTGTAGCTCTGTGAGGGGTAAGGAAGAACGCAGAAAAGATCCAGCTGCTGTTTCAGTCAGTTTTAGTAGAGGGGGCACCACCTTCTCCTCTGCCTCAGGCAACGCAGTGTCTTGGCCTAGTTCAGGCATGGCCAAACTTGGCCCTCCAGCTGTTTTGGGTGCACAATTCCCATCATCCCTGACCATTGGTCCTGTTAGCTAGGTGTTATGTGCTGAGTTGAATAGGATCCAAAAGGCAGCACTCTGATTGGCCCAGAACAATAGGATTCAGAATGCAGCAGTCTGATTGGTCCTAGAACGAATAGGGTCCAGAATGCAGCAGTCTGATTGGTCCACAGGAGCCACCCAATCCAGCTCCAGGTGGAAGTGAATCCACAACCAGATTGGCCTACAGGTGAATCCCGGAATTAGCCAATCAGGTGGGGCCCATTGTGTAAATAATGTATATAAAGCAGACATTCAGGGGGAACTTCCATTCCTCCTCACCACTATGAGCTGACTAAAGAGCATGAAATCCACTCTCAACTCCGAGTATATTTCACTAGGGATGGTGGGATTTGTAGTCCCAGAACAGCTGGAGGGTCAAGGTTGGCCATGCCTGGCCTAGTTGGAAGAAGAAAGTGGAGGGGGTGTTAGAGTCAGGAAAGTAACTGCCCTTCTGGAACCCTCTGCCTGAGAAGTAGCTTCAAGATTAGGGTGGTCCAGCTCACCTCTGTGGGAGACATGGATGTGATTTTGGCATCACGCTGTCCACGACAAGCAACAGCCCACACAGAATCGGGCTGGAAATCTTACATGGAGTTCTACAGCCGTCCCCCCTCCCCATCTTCCCTGGATTAAGTCTGAGTTGTTACCGGTGAAGGCTTCGTTCCTGTTGTGAATGGCCCGTTCTCTCCTTTCAGACCTCATTTAATCAGACAGCCCCATTCACCCTTGATCTCTCTTCTTTCTCTCTCTCTCCACCTCCTCTCGTTCTTGCCGTTGAATGTGCCTTATTGTAAAGCTTTCCTCGCATGGAGTTTCTTCCCACTATGGGGAGCTTTCCCCTCCCCACACAAAAACAAAAGTCTTCCAAACCCCCTATTCTAGCTGGGAATTATTAACAGTCGGGCCCCCACTAACCACCTGCCAGGACTTTGGCCAAGCAAAACACTTTGCTCTCCCTGCACCGCCCCCCCCCCAAGCTCTGAAGCGCTTCAGGCCTCGTGAAACGCAAAAGCCGAAGCTGAAGAAATGAGAATTCCCATCCCGTCCTTTAATCTGAAAACTCCTTTGTAGCAGGAAGGGGTGGTTTTCATTTTCTTCTCAGAATCTGAAATGTACAGAGGGCAAATACTAGGGTGACAGCTGCAGAAGGTGTTATGAGCAACAGATAAACTGTTGAAGTGTGTGGGTAGCAAAAAAAACCCTGAAAGGTTTTGAGAGAAGGAATATGTAGGCTTGCGCAATGCAGAAGTTGCAAAGGCATTGGGAAGCCCTTTTTTGGACGCTATGTTAAATGTGCGCAAAATCTTCCCATAGCCATCTAGTTGGCCACTGTGACTGGACAGGCTTTTCATCGGATGCAGCAGAACTTGTCGTGTGTACAGTGAAAATGCACTTGTTTCTGCACATGCTGGGCAAGCATTATGTTTCAGTGCATTTTATTTATACTTTGCATGCCGGTATCGGCTAGTTTCAAGGTGATATATCCTGAGCTTAGTTTGGTGCATGTTCTTGGATCCTGCTCTGCCGCTGGAAACACAGGTGTCCTTTGTGGCTAGGAGTGCCTCTTGGCTCAAGGAAAAAATAGGTAAGGAGAATTCCCTGATATAACACCACCAAATGAAAAAATAGGCTGTTAGACCTTTAAAATGTGCCATCGTGAGTTCAAAACTTTCCTCTTCCCTTAGCACAGAAAAAATATTACACCTTCGGTAAGTTAAAAATGGTTTACTTACGAACTCTCCACATGTCAGATTCAGGTGCTTTTCCATACAGCATCCAGATAAATTTGCAAAGGCAGTCAAACTTGGCTTAGTTACAATGGTGAAAATTCCTAAATCACTGTTATAGGAACACAATAATGGCTTGTGAAAGCCATGCGGCTGAGATGGAGCAACCAGCTTAGCCTCTTCATATGCTGAGCTTCTTAAGTAGACTGGAGGGGAACAAAGCCTTGATTACTATGGCTCCCAGGTTGCTCTGAGTAGAGAAATGTGCTTTAAATCTGTCTTAAATGTATGGTGTGTCTGCAGCCTGTGTCTGAGAAGCCATGGGATTCTTAATTTTCAACCCTATAGGCCAATTCTTGGTTTCTCACTCATGTAAATCCAAAAATTCAACGTAACTTTATCCCAAATAATGGCACATTGTAACACATCCAAATTTTTATACATGCTTAAACTCTAAAACAAGTCCCACTAGGTTAAACGTGACTTTCTTTTAGGTAAACATGCAAAGTATTGAAGAAGCCATGCAGCCAAATTTCACACATAGGATTGCAGCCTACGCTTTCCTTACTCCCTGTGTTGAAGTGATTTCGTTCTGGTTTCTACCTTTCGTGAGGCAGGTGGAAGGCAAAGCACCATGGTGACAGTCCAAACAAGGAAACCTAAAGAGCTTGGGTGCCACAGTGCTGCATGACTGCACACCAGGTCCTAAACTCAGAATCCGGCAGGTTAGTCATAAGGCCAATAGGCAAATGAGGGGCTGCTCTTGGTGTGAAGAAAGTGGGAAGTGGGGCAGCGAGTGGAAGGGATAGAGGCCGGCCCTGGGAAGTTCAGGAAGGAAGGAATAAGTTCAGGTGCAATCTTTGCTTTTATCCCTGTGATGTTCTAGCAGGTTATGATGGCATATCCAGGCGATGTCTGGCCCCGTGCCAAAGATTCTCACAGGTGGGCTGACTCCAATGGGTCTGGAAGATGGAACCTGCGAAGGATTCAGAAGAAGGAAGCTGTAAGCAGTCCCCTGCCAGACTATCAACAGTATCTCCACAGGTGAGCAGTGACCTATCACTTGGGTCAAGGGTTTGGGAGAGCCCTAAGCCCCACAGAGCGGTCCTGTCAGGGACAGGAATCAGAGCAGAGTGCCGATCTGATGGAGGGAACGTTCTTTCATATGTGGTGAACTTGTAAAAGAGTATTGGGAAATGATCCATAATGAATTGAAAAAAACGTTTAAAAGTAAAAAGGTAAAGGTAAAGGACCCCTGACAGTTAAGTCCAGTCGCAGACGACTCTGGGTTTGCGGCGCTCATCTCGCTTTACTGGCCGAGGGAGCCGGCGTTTGTCCACAGACAGTTTTTCTGGGTCATGTGGCCAGCAGGACTAAGCTGCTTCTGAAGAAACCAGAGCAGCCCACAGAAACGCCGTTTACCTTCCCGCCAGAGTGGTACCTATTTATCTACTTGCACTTTGAACGTGCTTTCGAACTGCTAGGTTGGCAGGAGCTGGGACCGAGCAATGGGAGCTCGCCCTGTCGCAGGTATTCCAACAATCGACCTTCCGATCGGCAAGCGCAAAGCTCAGTGGTTTACACCTCAGCGCCACCCGCGTCCTACTTTTCCCCCAAAACCAGAGTCCTTCCTGCTGGGGATAATTCAGACTGAAATTCCCAGGTATCAGAAAAGGTTATTTACAGTATGTATGCCACTACTGTGGCCCGTGTTTCGTTAGCCCAAAAATGGAAAACCAGCGAAGTCCCAACCAAAGAAGAATGGCTACGTAAGTTGACAGAATATGCACAGTTTGCAGACTTAACGTATAGAATAAGAGAACAAGAAGAACATACGTTTATAGAAGATTGGAAAACGTTTATTGAAAATATGGGAAATAATTGTGTACAGCTGAAAACGCTGGCAGCATTAAGATAAATTCAACAGTGTAAATAAGTCTTGATGGATGCAATAATGGAATACTGAATGGTGCAGTTTTTGTAAAATATGCAGGGATTTATGATATGCAAAATGAACCATGGAAAGAGAAAAAGGGAAGTCACTGATATCTTAAGAATTTTTAAATGAGTATTTTAAATTGTAAAACAGAAAAATTAATTTAAAAAATATGCAAAAAAGCAAAAAAAGAACAGAGTGCTTTCTGGTTTATCATGGTCAAAGGCCTGACTAATAAACATGTCTTTACCTGCCTGTGGGAGGGCACTAGAGACAGAGTTAGCTAGGCCTCCCTTGGCAAGGCATTCCAGAACCTGGGAGGGAGAGTGGTCCTCTGCTGAGTTCCATCCAAACGTGCTTCATACATTGGTGGGACAGACAGAAGGGCCTTTCAAGCTGTGGTGCAACTGGGATTATGGTTAGAGAGGCGGCTTTCAACAGAACATTAAAAACAGAATAAAACTTCAAACATTAAAAACTTCCCTAAAAAGGACTGAGTTCTATGACAGAAGAAACTTTGGAGATATATAGATCTACTAAGAAAATAAATAGGTTTTTATTATCTCTGTTATTGGTTATTTAAAATTTAAATGGAGTTTGTTATTTGGAATTGTTCTTCTTAGCCACCTCAAAGACCTGTTCTTAAGATGAAATGCAACCTCTAAAAACCCCCCAAAAACCCCCACCAACCTCACGCACTTTCTCATGAGTAGTCCTACTGATATCAACGGGCTTAAGTGCACAGTTGTGGGTTGAGAAGAGGCTGGAAGGAACCTCCTGCATTTTACGAATCAGCAATACTTCACTAAAAATAGGTGTACAATGAATTATAAAATGAGGTGCTTGCAGGTTGGGGAGCGAAGGGAAGCTCATTAATCAAAACCTGGAATGAATAATATATTGTATCTGCAAGGAAACGGACCTGTTTAAACCCACTAAAGCGCCTTATGAAAATTTGCAACCAAGAGGGAAGCATGTTTGAATAATATATAACAAATGCAAACAATAAAACATTTCAAGGGTAGAGTTTGCCCTTGTAAGAGTTACATTTTTATATTTCTCCTGCATTGTGCTCTTCCCTTCACTCCTTTTGAAAACAATTTATCTATTTTTCAAAAATGCATCACTAGCTTTAGCACAGCAATGCAACTTATACAAAACTTTAAAAGACTACAACAACTTTTAATATCAAATGCTGGAGATCACAATCAGGAGAGTGTTGCTGCTATTGGGCTTTGAAACATCGGCATCTAGTTGGCCAATGTGGGAAACAGGAAGTAGGACTAGATGGTCTGATCCAGTCTGTATTTTCTTACACATCCCTGGGGGACAGAAAGGACCAATGGTCTGCTGGAAATAACCTTCCTAGAACCGTGGTGAACAGATTGAAATTGCCATCTCTCTGGTAACGTGGCTCAAACGGGGCCCTGTGGAATGCCTCCCATCAGATGTCAAAGAAATAAACAACTATCTGATGTTTAGAAGACATCTGAAGGCAGCCCTGTTTAGGGAAGTTTTTAATGACTGATGTTTTAATGTATTTTTAATCTCTTGCTGGAATCCGCCCAGAGTGGCTGGGGAGATGGGTGGGGTATAAGTAATAAATTATTATTATTATTATTATTATTATTATCATCATCATCATCATCATCAAACCAGCATCTAGAGGATATATTGTTGTTGTTGTTGTTTAGTTGTTTAGTCGTGTCCGACTCTTCATGACCCCATGGACCAGAGCACGCCAGGCACTCCTGTCTTCCACTGCCACCCGCAGTTTGGTCAAACTCATGCTGGTAGCTTCGAGAACATTATCCAACCATCTCGTCGTCCTTTGTCGTCCCTCCATCTTTCCCCACATCAGGGTCTTTTCCAGGGAGTCTTCTCTTCTCATGAGGTGGCCAAAGTATTGGAGTCTCAGCTTCACGATCTGTCTTTCCAGTGAGCACTCAGGGCTGATTTCCTTAAGAATGGATAGGTCTGATCTTCTTGCAGTCCATGGGACTCTCAAGAGTCTCCTCCAGCACGATAATTCAAAAGCATCAATTCTTTGGCGATCAGCCTTCTTTATGGCCCAGCTCTCACTTCCATACATCACTACTGGGAAAACCATAGCTTTTACTATACAGACCTTTGTTGGCAAGGTGATGTCTTTGCTTTTTAAGATGCTGTCTAGGTTTGTCATTGCTTTTCGCCCAAGAAGCAGGTGTCTTTTAAACTACGCCAATGTGGCAAGCATAGATGAGTGCCTAGGCCCCAGACTGGACATGATGAAGCCTGATCTAAAATGTGGGGTTCTGATCATGGTTTGGATGCAGTGATGGCTGGTAGAGCAGAAGACAGGGAGACAGCAGTAGGTGGAGCTAGAGCCAATAACAGGCGGAGCCAACTAATTTTGGCCCCATCCTCCTCGGTGCTGAGATCTACAAGGGGCAACACGGAGGAAGCTGCCAGGCAGTGCCACCCATAAGACTGGTTATAATTAAGAAGGCAGGCAGGCAAGAGCTGGCTGAGAGCAGAGTGAGTTTGGTAGGGCAGTGCCCCATTTGCCCAGGTTCATCAGCCTTCAACACTTGGATGGGTTGCTGTTGGGAGGGAGCTAGTTTAATAAACTCAACCCGGATGGTAGGTGTTTCCAGTAGGGAGGGACAACATGGCCTCTTGTTATCTTTCTCCTCAGGCTGCTGGGCTCTGAGAGAGCCTCCTACTTCCTGCGTCCACCTACCAAGGAGCAGCCAGTAAGCCCTCGGGTGAAGCGCCTGCTGGTGACTGGTTTAGGTGAGTGTATGCTGCTTCATGGGACACGGGTGGCGCTGTGGGTTAAACCACAGAGCCTAGGACTTGCCGCTCAGAAGGTTGGCGGTTTGAATCCCCGCGATGGGGTGAGCTCCCGTTGCTCGGTCCCTGTTCCTGCCAACCTAGCAGTTCGAAAGCACCTCAAAGTGCAAGTAGATAAATAGGTACCGCTCCGGCGGGAAGGTAAACGGCGTTTCCATGCGCTGCTCTGGTTCGCCAGAAGTGGCTTAGTCATGCTGGCCACATGACCCGGAAGCTGTACGCCGGCTCCCTCGGCCAATAAAGCGAGATGAGCGCCGCAACCCCAGAGTCGTCCACAACTGGACCTAATGGTCAGGGGTCCCTTTACCTTTACCTTTTATGCTGCTTCATAGGAACTTTTTGGCTACTTTGCCTCTTCATCCCAGTCCGGTAGTGTAGTGGCAAATTCAGAAGTAATATTCACAGACCTCCCCTCCCCCCTGCCCCACAGTCACTCTCCCTTCTAAGATTATGAAACAATATTATACAACAATAATAAGGATGGGATACAGCACAAAAAATCCATGCTGATCTCCACGTGTTGCCTTTCAGCTAGATCTATTTTCTGTGCTCAGGGCAAATCATTTGGAGGGCTCCAAATCTTTTGGAGCTACTTAAAGTTGTGTTTTCCTTGCCGTTCCATTGCACTTCGCCATTCCCTTGAAACCCATCCTTTGGACCCTCTAGGAAACTCAACAAACCTGCTACACCTCAAATTGGGTGCAAGGAGTGCAGATGAATGGGACACAGCTGTGGGCAGCCTGAGGAAATACCATTCACCTTGGGCTTGCCCATAAAACGCAAGTCCAGAGCAAGAGACTAGGGTGATGCCTGCTGTTTCCAGGCACTCTTCTCATTGCAAGACTTTTGTGGGTGAGCTGAGAATTTGTTTGGACCCTGAGTGAGAACTTAGAGGCTGAGTGGGAGGGTGTGTCAGAAGGAAAAATAAACCGATACTGATTTTTTAATATACTAGTAACTTGGTATTAATGTCACATTTTTCTATCCAACTGGGTCTTTTTGTAATATTTTGTTAAGTTGCCTGTTGTTGCTTCAGTTCTTTTGTACACTGCTTGGAGATATTTTTAATGTATTGAGTGGTACACAAATTAAATAATCAGTCAAACTGAAATACCTTGTGTTTTCAGTGTCCCTAAATGCTTATCTTTGGAACATAGGAAGTAGCAACTCCTCTGTGTTCTTTTCTCGTGTCTTCTCTAGAGTGACCCCAGGAACCGATCCTCAGTGGTCGACTCTCCTCCTTTCACTGTGATGGTCTCCAATCAGCACAAAGGATGAGAAGAATTCCCGTTGGCTGAAAATCTCCCCCTTTGTGCTGATTGGACAGCTCTAGGATGCTGAGGATGTTAGAATTCCTGCTCTATGACTGCAGTCATGGGATTGTTGTCTATCACATGACGGTATATGTTTTGACTCCACAGAGTGGGAAGTGACAGAGACAAGATGTTTGTGTTACTGTGTTCCATGAAGTGGGACTATTGTCCTTTGTGCTTTTTTTCTCTTTGCTGTCTGATGCTAGAGAGAGAGGGAGCCGCGTTGCAGTGCTCCGTGTGTGTTTATAGGTTAATAAAGTAGATTAGCCAAAATGCTGAGTTGCTGAGGTCTGTCACGCAAGCTGTGAAGACTCTGCAGATCCCTAAGTGTTCTGATGTCTGTTGGCATCGGTCGCTGTGATGTTTGGGCAGAAGAAAGCTTTTGAAGCTCCTGAACGATTGACCAGGAGGGAGAGAACATGCCAGACGGGCATGTCTCTCTACCAGGGTCCTACTTGAGTGTAGGACGAGCTCCTGACAGAGGACAGGGACTTTGCAACAGAAATAGAAATGGGTGTTCAACTCCCTGCAACCCCGAATCTCTGATGATAAAGTGGGACTGTGAACTGTTTTCAAACCATGAGGTGGTTCCTTGTTTCGAGTTAATTAGCACAGAGCATCAGAACGTGCTGCTATGTATGAGGAGCAGTTTGAGCCCCAGGTTCCAGAGGGCCATTGGCGAAGGCACCCTCTGTGTTTTTAATACAGTGGTACCTTAGGTTACATACGCTTCAGGTTACATACGCTTCAGGTTACAGACTCCGCTAACCCTGAAATAGTGCTTCGGGTTAAGAACTTTGCTTCAGGATGAGAACAGAAATTGTGCTCCAGCGGCGCAGCAGCAGTGGGAGGCCCCATTAGCTAAAGTGGTGCTTCAGGTTAAGAACAGTTTCAGGTTAAGAACGGACCTCCGGAACGAATTAAGTACTTAACCTGAGGTACCACTGTATTCTATTGGGGAAACCCAGCCAGATGGGTGGGGTATAAATAAGCCCTCATCATGCCTCCCACCTGGTTGCTTGCCAGGCAGGGAGCCCGTAAGCTCCCCAAAGGGTGCTCATCAATGGTTCCTCTTCATCCTGGAGAAGAGTGACTAGTGGGGTGCCACAGGGTTCTGTCTTGGGCCCGGTCTTATTCAACATCTTTATCAACGACTTGGATGATGGACTCAAGGGCATCCTGATCAAATTTGCAGATGACACCAAACTGGGAGGGGTGGCTAACACCCCAGAGGACAGGATCACACTTCAAAACGACCTTGACAGATTAGAGAACTGGGCCAAAAGAAACAAGATGAATTTTAACAGGGAGAAATGTAAAGTATTGCACTTGGGCAAAAAGAATGAGAGGCACAAATACAAGATGGGTGACGCCTGGCTTGAGAGCAGTACATGTGAAAAGGATCTAGGAGTCTTGGTTGACCACAAACTTGACATGAGCCAACAGTGTGACGCGGCAGCTAAAAAAGCCAATGCAATTCTGGGCTGCATCAATAGGAGTATAGCATCTAGATCAAGGGAAGTAATAGTGCCACTGTATTCTGCTCTGGTCAGACCTCACCTGGAGTACTGTGTCCAGTTCTGGGCACCACAGTTCAAGAAGGACATTGACAAACTGGAACGTGTCCAGAGGAGGGCAACCAAAATGGTCAAAGGCCTGGAAACGATGCCTTATGAGGAATGGTTAAGAGAGCTGGGCATGTTTAGCCTGGAGAAGAGGAGGTTAAGGGGTGATATGATAGCCATGTTCAAATATATAAAAGGATGTCACATAGAGGAGGGAGAAAGGTTGTTTTCTGCTGCTCCAGAGAAGCGGACACGGAGCAATGGATCCAAACTACAAGAAAGAAGATTCCACCTAAACATTAGGAAGAACTTCCTGACAGTAAGAGCTGTTCGACAGTGGAATTTGCTGCCAAGGAGTGTGGTGGAGTCTCCTTCTTTGGAGGTCTTTAAGCAGAGGCTTGACAACCATATGTCAGGAGTGCTCTGATGGTGTTTCCTGCTTGGCAGGGGGTTGGACTCGATGGCCCTTGTGGTCTCTTCCAACTCTATGATTCTATGATTCTATGATTCTAAGCTATGTGGCCGGCAGTGAAATGGGTGATCACCTGAAATTCCCTTCACGTCAGTCTGCTAACAGGCTGCTACACCAACAGCTGTGTATTTGTGTGCATCAGTTTCACAAACTCAGTCACGACCAGTTATGGCTAGCGCTGCCAAATTATCAGATGAATTTTTTTCTTTTTCTTGTCGTGACTCATGAGGTGAAGTGATTGCGGTGGGCTGTGTGGAGATTCACTTGTCTCATGAAAAGTCTCCTTTAATTCCAAGTATCTCTTTGGGGGGAAAGCGTTTTGTGTTTTGATTTGATTGCTTTTGATTTATGAGTCGCTTGCTGCCACATAAAAAGAGTCTCTAAGTGACATTCACACTTTAAAAAAAAACCACCCTGCTCCACAGATATGGGCGCTGAGGAGGTCTGGATGGCCCTGCACGAGGAACCCAAACGCCAGCGTGAGGCTGCAGCAGCTAAGAAGGGCCGCTCACTCTCTCAGCAGGTGAGAGGGATGTTTAGGACCAGACCCTACAGAAAACCCAGATGTGTCTGGGAACTATTATTTTACTGTCACACTGCTACCCCTCTCATATCTGTCTTAAAGACTTCTTCGATATCTATCTATTAACCTGTTAGGAGCCGGACCACTGGTTCATTTTGCTCAGTAGTTTTTATTCTGACTGGCTCTTCAGGCTTCAAAAACAGTAATAATAATAATAATAATAATAATAATAATAATAATAATAATTTATTATTTGTACCCTGCCCATCTGGCTGGGTTTCCCCAGCCACTTTGGGCAGCTTCCAACAAAGATTAAAAATACATAAAAATGTCACACATTAAAAAGTTCCCTGAACACGGCTGCCTTAAGATGTCTTCTGAATGTCAGGTAGTTATTTTTCTCTTTGACATCTGGTGGGAGGGCATTCCACAGGGTGGGCGCCACTGCCAAGAAGGCCCTCTGCCTGGTTCCCTGTAGCTTTGCTTCTCGCAATGAGGGAACCGCCAGAGGGCCCTTGGCGCTGGACCTCAGCGTCCGGGCAGAACGATGGGGGTGGAGATGCTCCTTCAGGTATACTGAGCCGAGGCCATTTAGAAGAACACTGCTGGATCAGGCCAATGGCCCAACCAGTCCAGCATCCTGTTCTCACAGTGGCCAACCAGATGCCTGTGAGGAGAAATCTTGTGGGTTTCAGAGAGGGGAATTTCCAAGTTCTGCCCGGAGGTGGAGACACCGGGAATTGAACCTAGCATCACAGGTGCTTTTTAAACTGCAATTTAACCTTTTATGCCACCCTCCAGTTGCTGTTCTGATGCTCGGGCCAGCTTACAGTAATTTAAGGAAACATAACAAAGCAATAACAAAAATATAAAGTTTATGTTTTGTTCTGAGGCCTAGCATGTCCTAACTTCTCTCAGCCGTAGTCCTGGTTTGCACCCCACTGTGAGTGAATGGCCTTTCTCTCTTAACTGGTTTGCTGTGCTGACTTTGCCATTCTGAGCAACTGAACAGGCTTTAAACACTGTGGAATGAACACCCACATCTCTCCATCTTCTTTTTGGCCTGTCATTTAGCGGACATCACATAGGTATTAGTGTGGAACAGGGAAATGTGAGTCATGGGTGGCCTCCTGACAGCTTCCAAGCTAGGATCCCTAAATCAGCCAGCTGATTGCATGGATATTTATTTTCCTGAAGTGGGTGAAAGAGATTCCCAATCCTACAAAATTCTGATTAGATAAAATCTTCACTGCTCACTTTCCTCACCTCAGATGCTAACAGGAGCCAAAGAAAGCCTCGTGAGTCACGCAGTAGTCCTGCATCTGATGCAGTGAGCTTTAGCCCATAAGAGCTTATGCCAATGGGACACGGGTGGCGCTGTGGTCTAAACCACTGAGCCTCTTGGGCTTGCTGATCAGAAGGTTGGCGGTTCAAATCCCCTTGATGGGGTGAGCTCCCGTTGCTCTGTCCCTGCTCCTGCCAACCTAGCAGTTAAAAAGCACACCAGTGCGAGTAGATAAATAGGTACCGGCGTTTCCATGCGCTCTGGTTTCCGTCACGGTGTCCCGTTGAGCCAGAAGTGATTTAGTCATGCTGGCCACATGACCCGGAAAGCTGTCTGCGTCAAATGCCAGCTCCCTCAGCCTGAAAGTGAGATGAGCGCCACAATCCCATACAGTGGTACCTCGGGTTAAGTACTTAATTCGTTCCAGAGGTCCGTACTTAACCTGAAACTGTTCTTAACCTGAAGCACCACTGTAGCTAATGGGGCCTCCTGCTGCTGCTGCGCCGCTGGAGCACAATTTCTGTTCTCATCATGAAGCAAAGTTCTTAACCTGAAGCAATATTTTTGGGTTAGCGGAGTCTGTAACCTGACGTGTATGTAACCTGAAGCGTATGTAACCCGAGGTACCACTGTAGTTGCCTTTGACTGAACTTAACTGTCCAGAAGTCCTTTACCTTTACCTTTTTTATAAGAGCTGTCAGTCTGCCAGGGTCTAGGTTTGATAGACTTTACATTAAGTTGATGAATAAATAAATAAATACCTGGACTGACTCTGTCAGCGCCCTCATCCCTTTTGGGAGGCCTTATCCCAGTCTGTGGCTACCACCTGAAGCTCTGCTGCTGCCTCCTTCAAGGTACCCTGGCTGGGACGTCCTTCTACGACGCAGTGTCTGCAGCAAGTATCTCAGCAGCGGCAACAGCTGTGTGCTATGCACCGTCTTGGGAAACAGCACCAGCGAACAGCCAGCCACCTTCTGGCCACAAAGCACCTTGCTGATCTTGGTGACCCTTACGGAACAGAAGGACCAAGGCGCTACTTCCATTTCTCTTTGAACCACAAACGGGTGCAGGTGTGTTTGGCATAACTAATTCTGGAACTGGAGAGGGGCTACTATCAGCCCCAGAGAGCATGGCCTGCAGAGGCATGGCCCCTTCTCTGAGATCATTCCGACTTCTCCAAATGTTTAGAGGAGTCTCTAGCCCTTTCAGTTAGATAGAAATGCAGGGAGTATTCTGCATTGACTTATCCCAGCGTTCCAATGAGGGCAAAAGCACAGTGATAAGTGCGCCTTCTTCCTTATATTAGAATCATATCCTGTTCTTCAGCACAAAGGTTCCCAGCACCTTTAAAGCAGCTGTATTTGACACTTTTAAAGCAAGTATCATCTCTCTCTCTGGGTATCTCACATGCAGGGAGCAGAATTATTTCCTTGCTTGGAGTGTGTGCAGACTGTTTCCACCTGTTCCATATTTTGTATATTTGTAAATAAATAAAACATTACAAAAAGGCAGTAAGTCTCCTGTGAATCTCTCCTTCCAAAGGAAGCCAAATTCTACTAACTGTACTAACTACTGGGACATTTCTCATTGCTTATAGACATTGGGGGTGGGGCATGTAATACCACAGATATATTTAGGGCTTGGGACACAAGTACTCCAAAGAGTGCCTTCTCCAATACCAACCGCCTTGGACTTTACAATGGTCAGGTGAGGCCTTGTTGGTGCTGCTGCCACCACTAGAGGCTGGTGCTTACCTGTGACAGGGCCTTTTCAGTGATGGCGCCCCAGTTTTGGAATGTCCTCCCTGGTGAGGTATGCCTGTCTCCATCATTATTAACTTTCAGGAGGAATTTGAAAACATTCCTCTTTACCCAAGCATTTGGGAACTGAAGAATACTGTTGCTGGAAATGTCATGATCATCAGATGGAATAATGTTTTTAACTGAATGTGTTTTAGAATGCTTTAAACCGAAAGTGCTTTCAGATAATTTTAATTGTAATAGAGTTTTTTTTAATGATGTTTTAACTGATTTAGAATGTTTTAGTTTTTAAATTGTGCACGTGTTTGCCATCCGGGACGCTTTCTGGAAAAAGGACAAGTTGTTGTTGTTATTATTATTATTATTATTATTATTATTAATAATAATAATAAATCCTAGTTTTACTAAATTTATTCATTAAGACCCACGACTAAGAAAGTCCCAAAGCGACTTTCAGATATATGGAAATGAAATCTATGTTGGGATTGATTGTAGACGACAGTTCTGCATGCTGGATCCCAGACTCCTGGGGGATCTCTTTCACAGAAAACTTTAACAAAAATCCAGCTTTAACTTTTCCCGAAAGCAAATCTTTTGGTTAGCTGTGCATAATCTCATTTAATAGAACATTTTCTATTAGGAGTCTTTGACATCTTTCTGCCCAGTGGAGGAATTTCAGCCTTCTGGCTGAGTAGCAGCAGCTTTTCACATAGAACATTAGCATACAAACAATGAAACCGTGTTTCCAAGATGTTGCCTATGAGTTCAAGGACTCTGGATCTTACAGAGTTTCTCATCCTGCGGACAATGGCTCATTACAGCCTCAACATCTGCCTGGTACAACCTGCAGGGGCCGTGACAGTGGGAGCGGCAAATGCAGCCGCTTAATCAGGACTCTGCGAAAGAAAACTGATAGGCAGGCGTCACAGAATGGAGCGCAAAAGAAAAGAATAGGAACCACAGCAGGCTTCTTATATGCAGAAGTCGGCAACTTCTTTCAAAGCTTCTAGGGCAGTCAAATGTTGAAGTAGGACAGGCCTTTCTGAACATTTTAAAGTGGTAGTTTTTTGCAGCGGCTTCTTCTCTCGCTCTCTTCCAGCGCTGCAACACAACACACTCCACCTGCCAAAATTCCTCCTCCTCCGTAGCTGCAAAAAGGTTCAGGAGCCTTGGCCTTTTCCGCATCTGTTTACGGTACTTTCTGTGTTCGGGAGTGCACAGAGAATTATCCAAGGGAAGGTCATTGTGTTTCTCATTGGCATTCCACATTCCGCAGACTGCACAGCCCATGCACCCGCAGTTTGTGGACTGGCAGGCAACAGCGCAGGAGGAAACAGATGACCTGTCTGGAGAAAGACAGACACCAGCAGTTCTGAACACCACCTTCTGATCCTTGCCAGCTGGATATTGCAGGGTCTGGGGCTGAGCCACCAGCAAGGCTGCCTGGTAAAAATTTTGAACAGGCTGTGGCTGCTTCCAGATGACCTGTTTACTGAGCATTCCCCCTGGTTTGTTTGCACAAGGTTTGCAGGACGGTTAAACTAAGGTTACCAGATTTTTTTCAATGAATCCAGGGACACTTTTCAACTTCAATGGATTTTGTATGGGGACTGATTTGTAAATCCGGGGACTGTCCCTGGGAAACGGGGGCGTATGGTAACCTTAGTTTAAACAATGTGGGCCATTCATTGAGCATTCGTTCTCACTGGTTTGCGGCCAAGGAGATGCAGCAAGCAATTTCCCAGTCGTTTTCCCCTCATTGCATATAAAGTCTGATTTGGGGGGTGAAGCAGACTTAATGCATTCATTATTTATCCAATTGCCTTTATATACCACCTTTCTGCCAAGAAACCCAATTGTGACATATTAGAACAAAAGCTGCAAAGTAATTCTCAGATCAGGTTCAGGAGCTGACCGCGCAAGCTCCCTTCCCCAGACTTCTTCAGTGCTGCCTTGCCTCAGGACAGGAAGGTGTCAAGTAGCCCCAGGGAAGCGGGGCGGGGGGGCTGCCCAAATGAATAGGAGCTGGGGACTTAGGATCACTATGGTTCGAAAGTCGATAAATAGAAGCCCAAGACTAAGGCTGAGCCAGGTATTGTTTACCTGGATTTCAGTTCTGATGAGAGGCTGTCAAAGGAAGACTTTGGTTGCAGCCACTGAGAGCCCTTGTCTTCTGGGAATTTGTCCAATTCCCAAAGCCATCCAAGCTGGCGACCACCACCGCGTCTTCTGGGAGTAAGTTACATGGTTAAACTTTGTTGTTTTGTGTTTTTTTTTAAATGATATTTATTGAGAATTTTACAGTTACAAAGAAAAAAGAAGGAAAAAACAAGAAAAAGAGAAAAAGAAAGAAAAAAGTAGATAAAAGTAACAATTAAACAATACAAATCCATAAAAACCAAAATCAAAAAGAAAAAACAAAACACACAATGCAACACAATCAAAAAACAAAAATATACAACAAATTTAAAAACAAGTCCAATATTCCCAAATCCTTAACTTTCATTAACTTATTTCATCGACCTCCTCACACCTCCCTTTTTTTGTATTCTAGTTGTTAATTATCTCAGCAAATCCTTTCCATCTTTCACAATATTCTGTCATTAAATTACCTTAATCTATTTTAACCTTATCTTACCATAAAAACCCTAAAACTTAAAACTTAAATCTTATTTATACCGAATTCTTTTAACCATAACATATTCTTACATAATTCTTTTTAACATTTCTGCTAAAGCCAAATAATTTCATTCCAACATTTTTCTGATACTCATTAATTTTACGATACTTTTCTAACTAAATTTTTAAAACTTTCTTCCAATCTTCATCCATCGTCTCTTCTCCTGGTCTCGGGTTTTGTCAGTCCTTTCTATCCCATCCATCTAGTCCATCAACCTGGTGACCTTATATCCGAGGCTCTTAAGTCTTTTCCATGTCCCTTCCGCAGGTCTTCTTCATGTTTATACCTGTACTTTACTTTGTCTTCTGCTCCTTTCACTCTGGGAGACTCCAACTTGACAATATTTTTGTCCCTTCTCAACAAGTCAGCCCCTTTTCCATGGTCATCACTGAAATCCATGTGGTATTTAAAGGCATGTTTCAAGGCCCCTCCAAAATTAGGGGCCCCCACAACTCTGAGCTCCCCCCGGCCTAAAGCCAGACTTGAAAAGTCAAAACATCTCTGCATAGGGGGGTCCATCCAGCCCCCCATCTCCAAACCAAGCAGAACTCCATCTCTCCAAATCTGACTTTTTCCAGGTTCATTCATCAAATCCAACGACTCATGTTCCTGCTGGGCCACAGCTCCCTCCATCTCTGCCACCCGAGGTCCAGCAACAGCCTCCTCCCTCATCTCATCTGTCAAAGCACATTCCTGGATTAATTCCTGAGTGGGTTCTATATAGGTACCCACTGCCTGTCCAAAATTTCCTATCGCAACTGTCATCAAATCCATTTTCTCATGTAACTGTTCCAATAAAGCACTTGTCTTGCAAAAGGCAAGCACCAGAGCCTCTGAGCACATTCTTGTTCAAGGTCGAAGTCTGGTCCCACGATCTTTAATCTTTTACAGCTGCAAAACTCCCCAATTCGACTTTAATAACAGTTTCACAAGCTCCCTCTAGGGGAAACAATTTCTATTTGTATCCATCTTTTTTTTCTTTTTTTTAAAGGCAGATTTAGCAACAAAGTTTTCCTTTTTCAGATATTTTGTCAATATTTTGTTCCTTTTAAAAGCGAAAGGGAACAATGGAATCAATATGTTTCTGTTCTTTTAACTATCTGTCAAAAACGTTTGTCCATAGTCAATGAGCTTCTCCAAAACGTCTGTCTTGACACCCCGCTCCCAGGTTCAAGACGGTGGAAAATTACCTTTCTTTACTCTCTCTTCTGCAGGTTTAAACAGTCTAAAAAAGGTTCCCCCCTCTTCTCCTTCTTCCAAGGGGGGTTCAGTAATTTTAAATGATGAAAATTTAGTCCTTTACAAACGACTTTCTGAACTCTAGCTTGCCGTGTCTTTGCTTCAGTCTATCTACAGAAGCGGAAGGCGGACTTCCTGTTTAGACCTTCCCGCTTTCGGTGCCTAATTAAGAAATTTCACAGTCCAATTTTCCGTTCTACTCACGGGCAGTTGTTTGAAATCCAATTGTCCACAGAAAAAAGTCAGCGCTCTCCGGCAACAGCAATGCGGCTTCACTCCGTGAAAGAAGAAGTCGATTCAAAGCACCGCGCCACTCACCCCACGTCGCTCCGGATCCCCAAAACAGGGTTTCCCCGTGAGTGGAGGGGGCGCAAAGGTGCCAGCCGAATCCCACGTCCACAGGCTT